TTTTTTTTGTTATAACTGGTTTTACATGGCTCTTTTATTGTAGTTCGTATTTCCCGTGCATTCTGGTAGTTTCAGCGGGTTGATGTGCATCGTTCCGGAGTCTCAAAACTTCTACGTGCTAGATAGCGTGGGCGCGTGTAGAGATGACGGTGTCAAGAAAACTGTCTTGGCACGTGCTGAGATTTTGGTACGACTTCTTGCTTGTATTCATGCTGTGTATATATATATATTATATTTTTTTTTTCTTGATATGTTGTCTTTCGTTTTTTGTATTGTTATATTGTTTTTAATTTTATGTAGAGGCAATGGGTTGCAAAGTATCTGGATCATATGAATATGGTGAAGTTTTCAAAAGCCGTCGCACTTTCAATTCCGGAGGTTGTCAATTTGGATTGGACTGAGGGCGTTGATGATGTAGATGTCGGTGTTGTGACAATGCGTCTCATGGAGACGTTCAAAGGACGCATTACGAAAAATTGGAACCAAGATATGAAGAAGGCCGACAAGGGGCAACTGGAGCTGATGAGAAAGCGGTATTGCTATGTGATAGCGGGTGCTGGAAACAATGATACGAAAGATGACAATCTCGCGGCAGCAAGGAAGTTTCAGGATCTATGCGGGGGGGTGAAGTCACGAGCTGATTCGTGACTTGTTGGATTGGGTATTGCATTGTATGGGCGGATTAGTTATTATTCCGATGCATGATTATGACTGTTTTTTGAACATCTTTTGAATGTATTTAGGTTGGTATGTTTATGATTGTTTTTTATCACATGTTGGTATGTTTATGACGAATGGTAGGATTATGATGGTTATCGTGCTGACATGATTGTTGGTGGATATTGTTATGTCATGATGTTTTTTACTTGTTTGCTTTGTTTATATGTCGTTTTTTGGTGGGTGTTGAAATAATATATATGGTTTTCGTATATCATGCGTTGTATGGTTTTCGCATGGTAAAGTGCAGCGACGTGATTTATAAAGTGCAACAAACTCTGATGTAAAGTGCAATATATTAATGTGTAATGTGCACACACAAGTGCACTAGATATGCTCTCAAAAATGAAAAAAAAAAAAAAAATATTGTCGTTATCTTATTATGTTCGTGGTGACATCATGTCATGCGTTGGCATATTACTATATTACGGTTACCTTATGCTTGTGGTGTCAAATTGTGAATACGGTATAAAGTGCAACAATTTTGGAAATGAAATGCAATTACTTGTTGTATAAAGTGCGATGATATAGTGCAATTGTAAGTGAATGCTATACGATGTTGTGCCGTCATTATTAATATTAATATTAATATTAATATTATTTTTTCTTTACATGTATTGTATCATTGAGATATTGTTTACACACAATCTTGTTTCTGCACACACCTTATTATTTTATATATTATTACATAAGGTGCAGTTAAAATCGAATAAAGGTGCAACGTGATATATACTGAGGTGCAATATTCATCCAATGTTTGTGATCAACATTCATCCCTATAGTCCACACGCAATCTCATACGTTCTGACATTTGTTGGTCTGAAACAATATTAAACTGAAAATTATCACAATGTTTGACATCGTAATAGTGGTAACGTTTGACAAAATAACAAAATGCACCGCTTGTCAATCGTTCTATATAATGTTCGGTTGTATCATGTGCCCTGTGATAATTCCCATCAAATTTGATTCCCCACTGTATCTGCAAACAAAATATATTATATGTCAATATTCATGTCATTATATGAATGATATCATGTCGTGTTATTTTTTACTTTTGGAATAAGACGGAATAAACAACACAATAGGTATGTGTGCAGGTGTATAATAATGAACATAAGGAATTCCAAAACTGAAAATCATACAGGTGCGTAATGGTCAAATAATCGTCATGACGAGATGTAAATATGTACCTTATATGCCTACGTTTTCTTGGGGCACGTGCGTGCGTTATGACCGACTCTTTCGCCACATGATTTGCAAACCCTCCGCTTCTTTTGTGACTGTTCGATCGCCTTTTCTTTTGCACTCTTTAGTCTTTTCCCGCTGCCTTTGTTTTTTGAGTGTGTCGGAGGGTGAATGGTCACCTCTTGAGGCGCAGCCATGCCAACAAAAGACTCAAACTGCTGCTCTTTATTACTGGCTGTTGCGTTCTCGCCTTGATCAGACAGTAGTTTAACCTTGTGTGCTTCGATGACCTTTGAAAATTCAGCAAGTCGGTTAACACAAGGCTCAACCAATCCCATGCATGCATGAATATCCGACCACAACTTGCTAAGCAGTAACTTTTTATCGTCAACTTGGACGCATTGGGCAAACGCGACATCGAGAACGTGGAACATGGGATTAATAGTGGCTGTTTTCGTCCACCGTGATAGGATATGTGCAGAAGGTATAGATTGCATGTTCAAATCTTTGAGTACAACAAACACGTGACGACACAACCACCCGTACAATACAAAGTGTTTGCACGAACATGTCGTTGTATTCAAAATGATCTCGTGAACAACACTGAAAGTGTTACCATCTGCGTCTTTGATTACAAATTCCGTGTGACCATCCTTTTCAGAAAAGCTCATTACTCGACAACTGAAACACGCTGCGCAAATCTCTTCTTGTACACGGTAGAACATTGATGTTGTGTAAACAGACCTTGCAGCTTTCTCAATGGGAAGAGGCGTCTTCAATTCTGCTTGTAGGGATTCACTATCGTTGTGTAGCTTCATTGACGTGTTTCGTTGTGCATCCATCGCACTGTCGAAATGCATTAAGAATTCGACTAGGCTGGAATGATTATTTGTGAAGTTTCCGAACCAATTGTTCTCGCTTTCGGACCTAGAGGTAGTCCTCATTAAGCCGCTCCTGTTGACATTTCTGAAAAAAGCCAGAATCCAATATTCTCTTTTTGCAAACAAGTCATTGAGCCATTTGTGCGTGGTCAACATATGATCAGACATGATGGATGCTCATTTTGCTTCGAACTCAACAGCTTCTATATTTTTTTCCCATACAATTTCATTAAGCCGCCATTTGAATTCAACATCATTGTTTAATGAATGACCAACTTTGTCCCCTAACTTAGTCATTATGTGCCACATGCAAAATCGGTGCTTGCACGTTTCGAATACCTTAGGAAATGCGATGCTGATGGACGGGTCTTGGTCCGTGACAATGTACTCGGGCTCGTGGATCATGGCAGCTTTGATTTTCTTTAATACCCAAACGTTAGAGTCAACGTCCTCGTTCGATATCAAGGCAGCCGCAAATGTCACACACTTGTCGTGGTTGTCTACGCCGGTAAAAGGTGCAAATATCATGTTGTACATGTCGTTTGTCAACTTGGATTAGTCCAGAAATAATTTTGAACGAATATATATGACATAATAATCATTATCAAGGCAAATTAATATGAGGTTTCGTGTGTACCTGTTTGTACTATATGTAGCATCGAATGATACGACATCACCAAAACAACCGTAATTCCTTCTCGAAATGGGATCAGCCCAAAAACGTCTTTTCAGTCGTTCCTGCTCGTCTACCTCATACTGAAAATAAAATGCAGGACTGGTTTCTTGACGCTTGTAGAATTTGTCAATAACTAATTGAGCGTCTCTTCCTGCGATGTATGCGAGTAGCTCTCGTTTATAGTTCTTGAAGTCCGTACTCGTGGCGCCAATATTCGAATACCCACCAACCATCTCTTTGTACAAACAGTATGACCGAACTGGTCCTATATTGGCTCTGACGCAATTTAGTACAAAATTTTGATGTCCAGCATTCATTGTCCTGTTGGCCTTCATTTGTGATCTGCAGCTATCCGACGTCCTTGGGTGGTTATGTTTTTCCTCGAAGTTTTTTACGACGTAGCCATTCAGCCCGTCAATACGCAGCATGATGCGGGCATTACAACCCACTCGGTTTGACACCCTACACCTCATTATCGGCCCGCCATCGCATACTGTTGTATTGATTGTTGTATGGTGCTTATATCCTTCCCTCGAGCACACCATGTATTTCCAGAGAATTGTCTTGTCACGTGATTTTATCAAGGTGTTGTGCCTCATGTCGAAACCAATAATGAGAGCGTATCTTTTGTAGAAATCGATAGCTTCGTGTAATTCCTGAAACCTCTGCCCGTTGTAAGGTTTGTCCGATTCATCACATTCCGGTATCCAATATTTAGTTCCGCCGGGCGTGACCGCAAATTGATGGTGCGTAGGGGCTGTTGGTGATCCTTGAGTACCTGTGATTAAAAAACAAGAATGGTCAATTGACTGCACATCTGTTATAAGACAATTGCACATTAATATTCAACAGGTTGCACATTAATATTCAACAGGTTGCACATCAATTCAACAGGCTGCACATTAATTCGACAGTTGCACATTAACTCATATGACACACATGAAGTACTGCACGTCCTGCTATTTTGTGTATGAGTAAAGCATTCTATAAACATCAAGCTATTGTCTCCATACTTGGCTATCCAACACAAAAAGTACCTGTCTGTGATTCACCAGAATCCATTTTGTATGCAGCTCAGCCGACTGAAGGTTTCAACAACCTAAAGAAACATAAACAAGACATGTAGGCAGCTGATTTATATCTCCATATGTAGAATTCTAAATCTGTGATATATGGTCTTGCTTCATAAACATATCAGTAATCGTACTAAATTACAATGAATAATTGAACTAAATTACACTTGAATAAACAAAGCACTAAGATGATATACCTAATTTAGGAATTATCGTCGCCGTGAACGGAGTTGTGATCGAAATCTTGAGATCGGCCAAAATTATGTCTCGCACAGGAGAAATCGGTCACGAGAAAGTTGAGAATCCAGTTACGAATTCAAGGATGATGATCGATAAGCTCGAACTGTCTAATTTATTTCAGAGTTCGAAAGAGAAGCTCTATTGGAAATCTTCGAGATCGAGCCATGGGATCGCCATCAATGTCGCCATTAATTTGTGTAAGCTGCGGGTTC